TTGGCTAGCCAGCATGAGCAACGGTAATTAGCAGTTTTTAAATTTGCTTATTTATTATGTTGTAGGTAAGGATAATCATTCATTTTAGAGACATATGTGCTTTTATAAAAGTCAACACATGAATGACTACTCCACAATTCTAAAATTCTTTTATCTCCTGCTAGGATAATCCAGCATTTCAGAAAATGACAACTACAACCATGGTAGATTTTGTGTTACGTTTACCAATGTTAGAAGCAGAAACAGAACTGGATTCACTAATTAACTAACTTTGCTTTAGCTCCAACTCTCATCTCCACCACAGTTTTGTAATTGTGGGAGTTACTGGGATGGGCCCCCTTTAATGAAGGGCTATTTGCTTTGGCTGTCAGCCTCTCCAGGAACAGCCTTAGCTGCTTTGTCCAAGTCATGCCCCTCTCCAGGGAAGCCCATCCAATCATTGGGGTTATAAAGGTCGATGATTTTGACCCTACACTGGGCGAATCTAACTGGCCTTTTATGCTCTAGGGTGTCCTGCAGGGTCAGCTGAACTTGTTGCTGGGCCTGCATCACAGCTCAACTTCTCCCTCTACCCAGTATCACTTTCTTGCCTTCACTTCCACGTACCAGTCCCAAGGGTGCAACCTAGTAAACACTGTACATACCACACTTGATCTCAAAGTCTGCTCTTCAGACAATCCAACCAGTGAAAAGAATTCCATCTTCAATAAGAGCTGTCTGCACTGTTTCAAACTCAACATGTCCCAAGGCAAATTTATCATTTTATCTCCAAGTTAATCTCCCACTTTTCTTTCCTTTTATCTGAGAATAACATCACATGTTGTTTTCTTTTGTTGCTGTTGTTGTTCTTCTGTAGAGAAAATGGAGTGATTTTTTTTGACTCTTCTCTCATTATTCCATTACTTCCAATCAGGCATCAAATTTTGTAAATTTTTTCGAATCCAACATTCCTTTCTATATCCACTGCCAGGAGGAACGTCTGGGTCCTTATCACCTGATATTTGCGTCATTGTCAATACCTAGACACACCTTGTCTTTTACTTCCTATTCTGGTTCCACCTGCGTGCTATTCTAAACCATCAGTTTATAGAATCAATCCTCTATTCAAGAACCTCTGGCGTGTTTTATCAATATAAACTCTGGAAATGTTATTTAATGGTTTTGTGTGTATTTGTCTTTACTCTCCAACTTGTAACCTCCTAGAATTGAGACTTGCTGCCTGACAATAGCAGGGGATGTCAATGATGCAAGCCCATCATTGGGCTAAATTAGAAATAATTAAATATTATGTAATAAATATTACCTTCAGAAATGCATATTGAAAATCTTTAAAGAACTTTAACCTGGTTTACCTATTATTTCTTCTTATTGCTATAACACACTCTTAATTCTGATTCTTAAATACGTCAGTAAATTGTAGGGAATGAAAGATGAGGATTTAAATGATTAACAATAAGTGAAAACTTATTTAATAAAATTCCTTACTTACTTTTCTGAATGCAAGATAAACTAGGTAACACTCTAAAAAGGAATTTACAAAATAACAAGTGTCAATATTTCATTTTGAGTAAACATTTCATATTCTAAAAATGCTTAATACGTTTGCCGGTTTTCTCAAATCAGGATGCACATAACTTGTTGGCAGTTATGAATAAATCTGTTGCCAGAGTTAAGGAAAGCCATTGGCAAGAGGGCCCTTAGAACTATATGCTGGATTCTCCCAATGGGTAACTACAAGTATTAGGAAACTTTATGGTGTTAATTTGAGGAAGAATTCTCTGGGGAAAATTCTTCTCTTCATCATTTTCTAAAGAAAGCCATCGTTTAACACTACTCAGCCATAAAAAAGAATGACATTTTGCCATTTGCAACAACATGGATGGACTTGGAGGGCATTACGCTAAGTGAAATAAGTCAGACAGAGAAAGACAAATACTGTATGATATCACTTATACGTGGAGTCTAAAATATACAACAAACTAGTGAATATAGCAAAAAAGAAACTCACAGATCTAGAAAACAAATTTGTCGTTACCAGCGGGAAGGGGGAAGGCGGGAAGGGCATGATAGGGGTAGGGGATTAGGCGATGCAAACTACTATGTATAAAATAGATAAGCTACAAGGATGTATTGTACAACACAGGGAATATAGCCAATAGTTCATAATAACTACAAATGGACTATATCCTTTAAAGATTGTGAATCACTATGTTGTACAACTGAAAATTGTATAATATTGTACATCAACTATACCTCAATTTTTTTTTTTTTTTAAAAAGAAAGTCATTGTGTTTAATGCTATGGAGCAATAATATGTCTAAGAATCAGACACCTGGAATGTTTGGTCTCATTCTAAGAATATATAGATCATTAGAAATTAGCCTACAACTTTATCTTAATAGGATTTTGTCTTGTTGAAACATCTGAATTTCAAAGGTTAAAAGAACAATTAAGCTTTTTTTCTATGTCAGGAAACAATAAAATGATACAACCATCATGGTATATGCACAAAAGAAATTTCCCTGTTTTTTTATGGGAGCGTCTGCCTTATAGTTTGTAGCCTAATCAGGTTGACACATTACAAAGCCACTACTGTTGACAAAAACATCTTAGGATCTACGATCTAAGGAGGGAGTCTAACTAACTAGTGATGATATGTCCTAGAGATCTTTTTGGGAACTTGGGTAGATCAGTCTCCTAATTTTAACTGTCATGAAATAATTGGAGATGCTGAAAGAACTCAGGTGCCCCAGAATGTGAACCTTGTTCACAACTGGAGTAGAAATATGTAAACCTTTCACCGACATTTCCAGGGAAGTTGGATATAGGAAAAGAAAATGACATTTATGGCAGACTGATGGTTATTCTCCAATATTCAGTTTCCATTTTTTCTGTAGTAGTATGGTTCCTAATTTTCATCTGGGCTTATGACCACCCTGAAAAAAGACTGCTAGTGTATAGTTAGTGATGGACAGTCAACTAAGTGCTGCTCAATGGGATGCGAGTATATGTGGTGTATGCAATTTCTGGGATGTGTTGTTAAGAGAAGGATACATGCTTCTTTTATTTCTTCTTTCTTGCTAGGTAGATTGAAGATGCCATGCTTGGAGCTGTAGCAGTCACTTTGAACTGTGAAGGTTACCTCAGCAATGGAGATCGAATACATCAGAGCAACAGGATAGAAATAAGGTGGCTCCCTCATATAGGAAAGCCCTGTATCACTTACCTCCAGACATTGGTGTTGATCAAAATCCTGACCACTGCCTAGGTAGATGTAAGTACCATCCTCTCTAAATAAAGTTACATGATGACTATAGAATCATCTTGGTAAGATTTCTGCTTTCAGATTTTTGTGAGTAAAAGCTTGTTTCCACCAATTGTTAAAAATCTTGTCTATCTTTTTAACATTAATAACCAGAGGATGTTGTTTGTAGCCATGGAACAGAGAGAGGTTAACTAGTTTGAATTGGATCAGATCTTGTAACTGTGACTTAACTACTATAAATTAATTGACATAATTTACATAAAGATGTTTGTCTTCTCTTGGAAGAGCCAGAATTTTAAGTTAGAATTATATTTTTCATGAATTTGTGTATTCATTGTGCTTATTAACATTTCATTTATTAGTTAATTTTTATTACCGTAGTTTATTATTTTAAAAATGGCTTCTCTTTTAATTAAAACTCTTTCACTTAGTTTTTGCAAAGATCATAAGTGAACTTTTTTGCCACTTCTTGTAAAATTGTTACTGTTCTCTTTTTATTTTTCAATCTATTTTTAATTTAAAAATGTATTGAGGTATTGTTTCAGGTGTACAACATAAAATTACTACTCTTCTTGCTTGCACTTTTACAGATGAAACAACTGAAATATTTGATTTTCTTTAAAAGTGTTAATTTCTAATTAAAAAGTGTCTTATTTAATGCTCTCTTCTGGATTCTCTCATTCTGATTTGTTATGAGAATTGACCTTCATATTTGACAAGGAGGTCATTGATAGCCCTGTGAAGGTGGAGGAAGCCGTTTGGACTGAGATGAGGGAAGAATATGAAAAATTGGAGATAGTGCCTGTAGAAGATGTTTTCATAAGTGTTTTGGAAAAGCCAATAAGTAGAATTTCATATGCTCATGAGAAAGGTCTGGTAGAGAAGGAGTTCCAGGAACAATTTAACTCAACACAAAGGAGCCATTATCTATGCAAGACATGATGGATGTTCCATTCTTCAGAAATGCTAAATTTCAAGTGCTTGGCACATAGACAATCCAGTGGGCCGGTCAGGGTGAAATGGGGAATAAGATAAGCTCACAAACATATAGGCACAGTACCCAGTGCCATTGTAGGAATGAAAATGTAAGAAAAAGGAAGGATAAATCACCTCTACTTGGGTTAAACAGAAAAAGGCTTCATGGAGGAGAAGGCATTTGAGGAAGTTACCGTTTTTTGGCTCTATAAGTCACGTCAAGGTCAATTCCTCACAAGGAGGCCTGATCATTATGTCTCAAAGTGATGTTTTTACGTGCGTGCATGCTCTTCTCCTACATTGGACAGGATCTAGAGCAGTGCTTGGGACAGAGTAACCATTCAATATTAAATCACTGTAATAAAAACAATATTATGATAGTAAATACTGTCTGGATGAGTAAAGGAGTGAATGCATGTATGCATTAATAAGTGGCAGTGAGCTCCTCAAGGGCGGTGGACCTTGTTTTGATTATCTCTGAACCCCGATCTCGCTGCGTGTACCGTGTGTATTACTGGCAGTTCACCGGGCGCTCTAATTTCAAAGAGCAGTCTCCAGGGCCAGCCTGGCTGGGGCGGGTTCCAAGCCCCGGGCCGGGAGCGACGACTCCGGGCGGTAGGGGGCGCCGGCGTGCGGCTGGGCCGGTCCCCCGGCACCACCCGCGCGAAACCGGACCCGGGTCTACGCCATGCGCGTGCGGCTACCACTGCTGCGCACCAGCTGGGCCTGGCGCTTGGGCGCCCCGGCTGCCGCTGCCGCCGCCCGCCTGCCGCGGGGAGCGAGCGCAGGGCCCGGGCCGCGCCGCGCCATGGCTTTTTACCGCACAGAGGAGCGCGGCCAGCCCCACTCTCCCGGTTACCGCCTCTTTTTCAGTAAGTAGCTCGAGGGGGTCCCACCGCGCGCCGCGCCGGAGGCTCGGGATGGGAGCGCGGCCTCCATCCCTCCCTCTTTCGGGCCCGCCGCGATCGCCGCGCGGTTCTGGTCACTTTCCCGCACGCGGGGGCCAGCGCCGAGCCATGGGAGCTGCCAGAGATGGGGGCGGCGGACTAAGTCCCCAAACGCGGAGCGCGAGACGCAGGGCGGCCGGCTGGGCCGCGCCCGGGTCACCCTGGGCGCGGCCAACCGCCCTCCCCGAGCCGCGGGCGGAGCGCGCGTGGGAGTGCGCCCGGACACCTGGCCGGGTCGGCAGCCGTTAGCCCAGCCCGCGTCACTGTTCAGGGTTCGCGTTAGCTCCCAACGCGAGGAGCAGAGTCCACTGGTTACCCGACCTCCCTTACCCTACCCTCCTTACCCTCCCCCCTACCCTCCCGTCCCCCTCCCCTCCCCTCCTTTCCCCTCCCCTCCCCTCTTTTCCCCTCCCCTCCCCTCCTTTCCCCTCCCCTCCCCTCCCCGTCCCATCCTTTCCCCTCCCCTCCCCTCCCCGTCCCATCCTTTCCCCTCCCCTCCCCCTCCCCTCCCAGTGGATGTAACAAAACTCCTGCTGAGGGCCGCCCATGAGGCGGGACTTCGGAGATGACAGGTCCAGTGGTTCTTTTTCAGGGCAGGGACTCTGATGAAGGGCTTCCCAGCAGCGTGAATTTATACTCACGAGTTTGCACCTTGAATGCGATCCACGATCAAGAGCCTCGCTGGTTGCAAAGTAGCTCATTCAACTCCGCAAATTGAGCAAACCCAGAGGGCGAAGCGACTTGGGGCACTGACCTGGCCGACTAAGATGGGAAAACACCCAGGTCTCCATTATTCTCATTTTTCTTTGCATCCCGATATTTCACTGTGTAGGTTAGCTATGATGTGAAATAGCCAGGTTGGTTGAGTTGCTTTCATGCCTCACTGATTTCAGAGCCCCGAGGGGAGTAGTACCTTTTTTTCTGTAAAGTCGACCTTGCCTTATCGCCCACCTGTTAGGAACACCAGCTCTAGAGAATTTCAGATCTCAGCTCGAATCCTGGATTCTTTAGCTCTTAGCTCTGGGACCCTGGACGAGTTTCCTAACTTGCTGAGCCTTAGTTCTTCTCATCTGTAAAATAGGGCTGTAAGACTTACATGGCATAGTGTATGCAAATGATTAGTCACCAGGTCTAGAATATAAATTCTATTGTTAATAATACTTGTGATCATTATTGATACCTGTAATTTATAAAATGTTTATACGTATGCTATCTGAGCTTAGGGTCGAGGAGTATTTTATGGAAGAGAAAGCTGAATTTGAATAGTTTTGTGGTTATAATGCAGTTGATACTAAAATTCCCATTTTCTTCAGAATTGACTCCATATTCTTTTCCATCCTAATTTGGTCAAGACTGATCAGGTAGAAGGGAACCATTAACAAGAGGACCCAAATTTCTGAACGGATTGTTCCAAAAGGTTACAAAGCAATGGTTTGAGGAACAACTTTCCATAGAAACAGTGTTACAAAATGGCAGTTAGGTTTTTAAGTAGATAAAAGCTGTCTAACTCATAAAATGGTGAAAGTAATACAGTAATAAATGATTGACCAAAAAGTCAATAAATATTTATAAAATGTTTTGGACACTGTTAGATGTGGCACTGAGGAAATTTTAGTTATGGCCCCTGACCTCAAGAGATTGGTAATATCAATATAATTAATTAAGGAAAGTATAAAAACACTAAAAAATTCAAATAAAATTATTTGAATGTTGGCTGAGAAAAAATAGTCTTGAGGATCCTAGAGCATATGGTGTAACCCACTGAGCACTGACTTTGGCATGGGGATTCCTAGGCCTTGGTTCTCGCTCTGCTGTAACTCACTGTGTGCTGATTGGCCAGGTGATGGCTTCATTTCTTACATGTTCAGTTTCTTTAGCTGTAAAATGAAGCAGTTGACCTACCAGTGATCTTAAAGGTCCTTCTTAGTGCTGATAGTCCTTGGAGACATTGGATGAATAATAGATACTCTTAACATTATGTATTGGGGCCTCTGTTAGGTATTTTTGAGGCTATATTGGCCTCTCGCTGTGGTTTGTTTCTTTAGCTGCAAGTGTATTTCAGACTCACGATTTTCTTTAACTGGAATGCCACAAATAAAATACATATATTTTTTTTCACTCAGTTGGAACAAATGACAGAAAAGAAGAAAAAAGGTTTTACTGAGCTAAATGGGCAAAAATTGGAAGAAAGGAGAATGTGGTTTGGGGGAGGGGCCAGGTGGTGAGATAGTCATTGGAAGGTATTGTTGGGTTGAACAATTCCTGAACTAAACGCCAGATGGCATCCTTGGCCCAAGACTGTTTACTGCCTGCTGGAAGGGGTAGGACAAAGTGAAAGGAAGCCCCTTTAGGATTAAGGGGTAAGGGGTAACAATGAACAATTTGCTCTCTATAAAGGTGGTCACAAATTGTATATTTTATACTCTGGCAGTACTATGTGCAGTAGTATGGTGCAGTTCGCTCCCTTCAAAGAAGAACATGAATATAGCACTACTTGGCTGAAAAGTATTATTTAGTGTTATTACAGTGGAATCATTTCCCACATTTCCAAATATATCCCAAGCCTCTGAAATATGAGTGCAGTTGGGAGGTAGACTTTTTGGCATTTCATTTCTGTAAATGGTTCTCTTTACCATCATTCAGAAGAATTAGAATAAATGATAGATGCAGTACTTTTCTTTTCCTTTTAATTGGTGTTGAACTTTGTGGGAACAGTATTGAAGTGAGACAGGGTGACAGAGGAGAAAAAACATCCTGGTGGGAATCATGAGGCCTCCTGGCCCTGTAATGAACTTTTTGTGTGGCGTTGCATGAGTAATTGAACCTCTCTGTACCTCATTTTATTAAACCATGGAAAGAGGAGATTGGACTTGATCATTTCCAAACTGCTTAGTTGAGCACAAACATCCCATGGTATGTTACTAGGCTTTCTTTAAAGGAAGAGCTTCATGGTTTAATAAATTAGCAAAACACTTCTCATTTTATCACCTTGGGGAGTGGCAATGTGCATATTAAAGTTGTTGGAAATTCTTATGTAAAGTAACTTGTCCCAAACTTTTGAATCCAAGAGCCCCTGTTTCTCAGAACATTTGTTGACATCTAAGTAACTCTAGAGTTTGATGGAATTCTATTTGAGAAGCAGTGGGTTCTACACCAATAGTCAAAACACTTAGGTTGTAGCCCTGGCTTGACTATTTTAGGCATCGCTTGACATCCCCTAGCTCAGTTTCTCCATCTGTAAAACGGGGATAGCACTGATGATTTTATAGAATTGCTGTGGCAGTTAAATGAGACCATGTTTGTAAAGACTATCACTGTCTCACACATGGCACATGGTTAATGTTTAATATGAATTATTTCTTTTTCCCTTTTGACTTTAAGACCAAAATTCTTGTTACGTTTTGTGAAGGATGAGAACAATGGGATATGGATAGAATTGCATACTTTGAGTAAGTCCTGATTTATTAATTCCAAGTCTTACAGTTTTCATGGGTACCAACTTGCAGTCTTTTGAATTAGTTGTGAAATCATAACGAAGTAAGACTTGTTCATATGGGACCAAAGACATAGCACTGCATGCCAATATTCTTTGGTAGTCTACATGTTTTTGTTTTGTTAATAACTTGAAAATTCATTATTTTAGATTTTTTAACTTTTCCTAAAGGATGAGGAGAAGCTACACTTTTCATAGTTTGGATTTTTTTTTTTTACTATGGGATAGGTGACTGGTTCACTTAGAGAAATAGTGCTGTAGATAATTCAGATTGCTTTTATTTAGTGTGAGAACGAATCATGCAGTTCTTTAACAATGAATTTATCATTTTAGTAAGACTATGCTTATGTTGAAATTACTATATGTTTTGTTTTTGAAGTATGTCATTTGAATAGTAGGAGGAATCTGCCATTGAATGTACCACACATTTGGACTTAATAAAATTTACTGAATTACATGAAACGTGTGTTTGAGTCTTAAATATGAGTTCCTGTAACTTTTTTTTTTATTTGGCCCATATCATAAAACTTTAATTGACACAGTAGATGATAATGGTTATTGTGTGGATATAGAAATGTTAGTTATATTTACTTGGTTTTTGTCATTGCTACAGCTTCCAATAAGAATCTCTATAAATGCTTTTAGTAATGATACGTAATAGTATGTTGGTACTTAGCATACATGTAACTATTTGATGTGTATAACATATATAATCAGGTATAAGTTTTGCAGTCCATTCAGTTTCCTCACTTGCTAATACAAGTAATAAACTTTCATCCTGATACAACTTGCTGTTATAAGAGAAAAACATATAGATTACTTACAAAATGATAGAATAAAATCTCATTTCAGTCCAGTCGAAGGGAAAGTTTTGACACTGTTTGGCAATGTCTAATGTATATTGATGGGCCGGATAGAATTCATTAGCTTATGCCCAGTAGGTGTGTAGTCTGATTTTTGACAAAGTGAAATACCAAAACAAGATGGTAGGGTGACTACAGTTGTTTGTCTTATCTCCCTCCTCATAAATATCCTATTAAAGTGATAGTAGGTGGATAAAAAAGGATAACCCTGAAACAACAAATAAGAAGGAGCCATCAGAGCCGGTGATTTCAAGATATTTATAAAGGAAGAAAAGCAGATGGAGATGTGGTTATTGATGAAGCGGCACGGAGGCAGTCCCAGCTGAAGTCTGTGTGCTGAGGGGGCTGTAGTTTCGGAAGAAGCTGAACTGCTTTGCAGAACCTTAGAGAGTTTGTGGACATGTTGATGTCAGATTGGAGAGAGAGTAAGAGACATGTGGAGCCTGACACAAGGGGGAGCAGTTTACGTTTTATCATGGAATAGCACACAGATGTTTACCATGCAGGCCTGGGGCTTAGGCGATGTGCTGGTTCCTTCTGCAGAAATTGAAGAAGGTGTTTGGAGGTCAGTAGCCCAACCTGATGGTGTCGCTGCTCAGCGGAGCTCTGGGCTCTGTGACATTTAGGGAACGCCCCAGTGTCACAGCCAGCTTCTTACCCACACATCTCCGAGGGAAGCTGGCCGTTCAACAAGCCTCGCTGCATGCACATCAGTCTTTTCTAGCCTCTTACTAAATATAAGCCAAATTGTCAGGGATCACTTTCAGCCAGGGTTTCATCCTCTGTCTGCCAAACTGCTTTGCCAAAAGGTGTCCTCGGCCTGGTGCCATGGCGGCTCTGATGCCCGCGGTCTCCGCGGAAGAGGGAAGATGGCGCTTGATGGACCAGAACAGATGGAGCTGGAAGAGGGGAAGGCAGGCAGTGGACTCCGCCAATATTATCTGTCCAAGATTGAAGAACTCCAGCTGATTTTGAATGATAAGAGCCAAAATCTCTGGAGGCTGCAGGCACAGAGGAATGAGATTAATGCAAAAGTTCGCCTGTTGCAGGAAGAGCTACAGCTGCTGCAGGAAAAGGGCTCCTATGTGGGGGAGGTAGTCGGGACCATGGATAAGAAGAAAGTGTTGGTTAAGGTACATCCTGAGGGCAAGTTTGTCGTCGACGTGGACAAGAACATCGACATCAGTGATGTGACACCCAGTTGCTGGGTGGCTCTCAGAAATGACAGCTACACTCTGCACAAGATCCTACCCAACCAGGTAGACCCACTGGTGTCACTGATGATGGTGGAAAAGGTGCCAGGTTCAACTTAAGAGATGATTGGTGGACAAGCAGATCAAGGAGATCAAAGAAGTGATCGAGCTGCCCGTTAAGCATCCTGAACTCTTTGAAATGCCGGGCATCGCACAGCCCAAGGGAGTGCTGCC